TAATTTCTATATATTTGTGATTTTTCCAGTTTTCCTCATTGATTTTAGTGTTTCAATTCTTTGTGGTTGGAGAAGATACCTTGTATGATTTCGGTCTATTAAAATATATTGAGAATTGTTTTATGGCCTAACATATGGTCTATCCTGGAGAATGTTCCATGTGCACTTTAGAAAAAAGCATATTCTGCTTTTTTTGGGTGGAGTGTTCTCTATGTCTGTTAAGTGTAGTTGGTTTATAGTGTTGTTCAAGTCCTATTTCCTTTTTGATCTTCTGTCTAGAGGTTCTACCCATTATTGAAAGTGATAGAATGAAGTCTCCAATTACTTTTTTTTTTTTTAAAGATTTTTATTGGGGAATTGGGGGGATGGGAACAGTGCTGGGAAATTGGGGGAAGGGGAACAGACAAGTTGATGTCGTTTTGTTCTTCAGTCTACTTGTGGAGGACATTGCTTCACTGGCCCAAGTTGGCACCATCATTGCGCTCCTCCCGGTTGAGGCAGATCAGTCGCCAGCTTCTGGATGGCCGCTCACTGCGGCTGCTGGCTACATACTGTAGCCCATAGCAACCCACTGCCACAGGGACTGCAGCCTACGCCGTCGCCGGCGACTCACGGCAGCCCAGCTCCAAGTTGAGCTGTTGTTCAGCATCTTAGCTGTGGAGGGCAGTGTTCACTGGCCCTCATATGTGGGATCCGAACCGGGGCCCTCTGGCATCCCAAGCAAGTTCTTAACCATCGCGCCACTCGGCCGGCCCTCCAATTACTTTTGAAAAAACTGGATTTCTCCTTTCAATCCTTTCAGTGTTTACTTGATATCTTTTGTGGCTGTTTTAGGTACATATATATTTACAATGTATCTTCTTGATGAATTGGCCCTTTTGTCAATACATAGTATCCTTTATCACTTGTAACAATTTTTTACTTAAAAACATTTTGTTTGTTATTAGTGTAGTTATTCCAGCTTTATTCTGTTTATTACTTCTATGGAATATCTTTTTTCCATCCTTTCACTTCCAACCTGTTTGTGTTTGAGAGTCTAAAGTGCATCTCTTTTAAGGAACATAAAGTCAGATGTTTTCTAAATTCTGCCACTACTTATGTTTTAATTTGTGAGCTCAATCCATTTACATTTAAAGTAATTATTGATAAGAAAGGACTTTTGCCATTTTGCTTATTTTTTTAAATTTTATTGTTATTTTTAAAATTTTTTATGTCACATTCTTTTTTGTTTGCCAGTTCCCCAACTATCTCTTTATTTTTTATCGAATTCTTTCTTGTGTACCATTTTGATTTCTTCTTTTTCTCTGCTGTATATTTTTTACTTATTTCTTAGTGGTTACCAAGGGGATTTTTAACATCTTAAATTTACAACAATCTAGTTTGAATTGCTACTAACTATGCTTCTATAGCGTATACTCTGCTGCTATTCAGCTCTTCCTTTTGTTGTGATTGTAAATTACACATTGTAGTCCCATTAACATAGGCTTAACATTCTTGATTTATGTGTGTGTCTTTTAAGTTCACACAGGAAATAAAAGTTACAAACAAAATGCACAATACTAGCTTTTATACTTACCTTTGTATTGTAGTTGCCTTTACCAATGATCTTAATTTCTTTGTGTGGCTTCAAGTACTATCTATTCAGCCCTTCTTTCAGCCCGAACAATTTGTTTTAACATTTCTTTTAGGGAAGGCCTATTAGCAATGAACTTCATTAGCTTTTGCTTATCTGGAAGTGTCTTGAGTTTTTCTTCACTTTTAAAGAATAGTTCTGACAGACACAGAATTCTTAGTAGACAGTATTTTTTCTTTAAGCACATTATCTTCTCATAGTGTCCTGACTCCCAGGATTCTGATGAAATCTTTCATCAGATGAAGAAAAAATCTTTCTGCTTTCAGGATTTTTCTCTTTGGCTTTCAACAGTTTGATTACTACGTGTCTCTTCTGGGTCTCTTTGAGTTCATCCTTCTTGGAGTTTGTTGAGCTTCTTGGCCATGTAGATTTCATATCTTTCATCAAATTTGGGAGGTTTTCAGCCATTTTTCTTCAAATATTTTTCTGCCCCTTTGTCTTCTCCTCATGTACACTTAATGGTGTCCTATAGGTCATTTGGGTTCTATTCATTTTTCTTCATTCATTTTTATTTTTTGTCCTCAGATTAGGTAATTTCAGTTGTCCTATCTTGAAGTTGGGTGATTTTTCTGTCTTCTCAAACCTGCTGTTGCATTCTCTAGTGAATTTTTCATTTCAGCTATTGTACTTTTCAGTCCTAGAATTTCTAATTGATTCCCTTCTATAATTTTTATCTCTTTATTCATATTCCCTACTTGTTCGTATATCCTTGTCATGATTTCCTATAGTTCTTGGTGGTTCCCTTCAGCTCTTTGAATGTATTTAGAGAGTTAATTTAAAGTCTTTGTCTAGTAAGTCCAGTCAATGTTTGGACTTCTGTGTCCATGATTTTGTCACTTTCTTTTTTCCTATGAATGGGCCATTTCCTGTTTCTTTGTATACTTCACAATTTTTTGTTGAGAACTGGATATTTTAAATATTATAATGCAGTAACTTTGAAAATCACATTCTTTCTCCTCCAGAGAATGCTTCAGCTGTCTGTTTAGCAACTTTTCCAAACTATATTTGCAATGAATATATTTCTTGTTATATGCTATCTTTGACATTTTTGTTCTCTTATCGCTGAGGTAAACCAGTGATTTTTTTTAATGTATGGACTTAATAATGGAAAAAAAGATCTTTTGTTTCTTTAAATTCTTTTGGCAGACATTGTGTGGGAAGCCCTTCAGTCCTAGGGGATTGAAACAATGGCCAATCTCCTTTCTAGTCTTTCAGTGAACTGCCAGGCAAATCAAAACACTCATCACCAAAATTTGGAGGACAGGGTTCCCATCTTGTTACCAGCAAGGCACTCAGTGAACATGGGCCACTGTCCCCACAACTGTCTGCTACAGGGGTGGAGCATTCATGATGGTAGCAGCTAGCAAAAGATGAAATTCACTAACATATAGCAGGCTTTTTCTTCACAAGCATTGCCTTGTGTGCTGCAAGTATCTAACTGGACTAGAGTTTTGTAATAGTGATTCTGACACTTCTTGCCAGCTCAATAGTTGATTTGGTATAGGGACTGATTCCTGGAACTCCCTACTCTGCCATTTTCCATGATGTCACTCTTGTATTCTTGTTGAGGTAATAATCTCCATATAAAAACATACTGGCGGGCTGGCTGAGTGGTGCGTTGGTTAAGAGCTGGCTTGGGATGCCAGAGGGCCCCGGTTCGGATCCCACATATGAGGGCCAGTGACACTGCCCTCTACAGCTAAGATGCTGAACAACAGCTCAACCTGGAGCTGGGCTGCCGTGGGTCAAGGGTGATGGCGTAGGCTGCAGTCCCTGTGGCAGTGGGTTGCCATGGGCTACTGTGTGTGGCCGGCAGCCAGCGTGAGCGGCCAGCAGCCACTGTGAGCAGCTGTCCAGAAGCTGGCGACTGATCTGCCTCCCCTGGGAAGAGTGCAATGATGGTGCCAGCTTGGGCCAGTGAAGCGACATCCTCCACAACTAGTCTGAAGAACAAAACAACAGCAACTTGTTTGTTCTCCTTCCCCTGATTCCCCAATAAATTCTTTAAAAAAAAAAAGAAAAAGAAACACAAATAGTGTTAAAAAAAATACTGGCATATATTGTAGAAAGAATTTATATAAGTAAAGGCTGATATGTGTATAAATAGTGTATGTATCAAATTACGTCTTAGAAATTATTTACCATTATACCTGTCCATATCACAAATTGGGACAGTTGACCAAAAAGACGGAATTTTGCATGTCTGTGTAGTGTCACTATATATCACTACACTGTATCTTGTGGCTCTGCAGAGAAAATGGCATTTCTTTATTGTTTCTGTAGTTAGTCTTTTTCTGACCACTTCTTACAGAAGACCTATTGATTAGGTGGAGAAAAATCCAACACTATTTAAAACTTAGTCTAGTTTGATCACTTAAGTTGTTTTTTAGGTAGTGTCCAATTTTCAGAGATAAAAATGCTCTGTCTTTGTCTGCTTTTTATCCTTGGATGGTTTAAGAGGATGGGATAAGGAGTATGGCATATATGATCTCCTAGCAGTGGGGAGCTGCTCATGTCCCTTAGTTTGATGTTTGCTACTTCGTCTGGTCTGGGGAGCAATGTCTTGTTACCTCCTAGTTGTGTTTGCCTTGCCAGCATGTGCAGATGATGTCATGGCTGGTGTAACTCATGGTGAGACCTGTATGGCTGTTGTCAGAACCTAAGCAGCGCTCCCTGACTACTTCCTCTCTTTCATTCTTCCTCTCTGAGCTCTCTATCTGGCCTGCTGGCCTGGCACATCATTTATAGCCTTTGCTACAGGATTACTCTGCCCCATGGTAGGCCCTTTGGCCAGCCCATCAGCTCAGGAAATGTGATTCTCAGAGCTTGCTATTGCCTGACCATGCTTGGAAAAACTGTCTCTCGAGACATGGCTGGCCTGGCCTATAATACTATGGTCTTACTGTGTAATCCTTCTGTGTGTGTCACGCTGCATATTGCTTCATTTTATCTCTCTGCATTTCCTTCAGCACTAAAACCTAATAGCGCCCCAGGCAGATGAATGCTTCCAGCAGACTAGGGCAAAAGTCATACTTAGAGAGGCAAAACAACAACAAAAATAATAATTTGCAACCACTGTCACTATTACATGTGTGTACATAGACATATATGAAAATAACATTTAAAGACTTGCATATAGTTCTTAATGTATACAAGCCTAAATTTAGAATCTTTAGAGAGGTATATGTGGTATGCATGCATATATGTGTATGTATATATATCACATATACATGTTAAGATATATATACCATAGTTAAGATGTTACATATAAACATGTATGTATGTATTAATTAAGAGGTTTAGTTTTTATAAAAATTTTCCTGTGACTAAAAATACTTGATTTAACACACATTTTCTTCTGTTGCAGGACAGTTCGTGTATGGTTAAAGAGAGATAGTGGACAATATTGGCCAAGCATATACCATATGATGCCTTGTAAGTATCCGGATTTCCGTCTTTAAAAACCAGACATTGACCCCAACTCCCCTTCCTTCCAAGATTGCCTCCTCTTTATTTTCTTCCTGAGCAGGGATGCCTGAGGGTTAGGCTTATTGTTATAATGGAGAATACCATATTAAATCATTTTAGATTTTCTAAAACTCTCCATATGTAAAATAAGAAAATTGTTCTGAAATTGGTGATATATTCATAGGTTCTGAATGAGATTAATGGAAGGACTGCAGTGCATAGGCTTTCTGATTATAGCAGTGTCCCTCTGTTTTCTAACTTTTTGTTTAACTTTTTTTGTAAAGTAATTCCTTAGACAAGTCAAAATTTTGTCCAGTGATTACATTTGTGAAGTAAATTTGTGCTCGCAATGTTGTTATTTACTCAAATTCAAAACATTCAACATTGAACATTCAGTTCTCAAAAGAATTTGCTTAGGATTGAAACATTCTAGTTAGAAGTCAACCTCATTTCCCCAAGATCTTATGTAAGAAATATGTCCTTGCACTGATAAGTAGTGAATCTTTCAAATATACTTAAAAAAAAAAAAGATATGATTGATTCTTAGACTCATACACGGGTAGAAGTTCCCCTGCACGGAGGGAAGAGCTGGCTCTCCAAAATAAGAAATTTCTTTTTAGCTTAGTGTTTTATCATTAAAATTAATGAAGTTTGGGCACCCTATTCCATGTTTATTTTAGTGTAAAGTAATTATTTAAATTCATTATCAGTTGTATTAGTAAACATTTCCCTTATTTCCCTTCCTTTAAATCTTAACTAAAATTGACGCCCTCGGAAAATCCCTCTGGTTTGTTGCTTGGGCTCATGTACCCTCTGGTTTGCTGCAGAGTCACCTCTTCCCTTGTTAAAAGTAGCTGAGTTTGAGGAGTACATGGCATAATGTACAACCAAAATCATGCTAAATTGTAGATGTGATTAAGTTTATGCCTCTGGCAAAAGAATATTGTAATAACATAAAAACAATTTTGCCTGTTTATGAACAAATGAATTATTAAGGATGTAATGGTTTTCTGTGATTTTCAAATTATCTTTGAGGTTTTGTATCTCTTTCAAATTTTGCATGATAAACACGAAGCTGAAGCCAGTACTCAACCCTACATTAGTAAAGAAGAAATTTCTTATAATTCTGAGTGGTTATATTTGCCCCTTACCTGTTGTGCCTCCAGCAGACACCATTATATGACAAAGGCCCTAGGCGAAATTTCTTATTAAGCTGTGGTAGTGATGGGGGCTTAGGTAAATGGAAAGGGAAACGAATTATCTGATTTTTTCCCCCCTGATTTTTAAGTGGTATGAACCAGTCTTATCTATGCTATGGTCTTGCTGTTTCATCAAACTTGACACAGTATCTCACTGAAAGAAATGGGGAACATCTTTAATCCAAAAAGTTGAAGTTGACCCCAGAGACCTGTCGCTCTCATGACGGTGAACAGAGGAGAGGTGGACCTGTGCAGAATAATGAGGGCTTGGGAATAGCAAGCAAGGAATCTTCTTGAGATGAATGCTAATAGGAACCTCATGAAGACACAGGACCCTAAGCAATAGCTTACCCACCCCCTGTCCCATACACACTTCCATACACATTTTGGTATCATTCTCTAATGTTTTCTTTATTTGAATATCACTGAGAATACAGCAAAGCTTCGTGTTGCATTTTCATCATTTATTAAGCTGTGTGCAGGAATGACTAAAAGGCTACTATAGCTCCTGAGCCTAGTATAGGTGTTCAATAAATAAATACTTATTGAAGATTTGAATCTGATAATAAAGATGAATTTCCCTGAGAACATTGTTATAATTTTCCTAATGACTGAACACAATCTTTGAGAAGAAGGCTCCTCTAAGTATTTGCATATTTTACCTATGATGTCATACTAAAGGGAGTAAAAAATTGATTCGTTTGCTGTGGACCTGCAACATTAGGATCACCTGAGAACTTACTAGAAATGTAAATATTGGGTTTCCACTCCTGATTTCTGAATCAGAATCTGCATTTTAATAAGATCCCTAGGTAATTTGAATGCTCTTTCAAGTTTGAGGACATTGTCTTGTGGCAATTTACATATGTTCATATGAATGCATGTAAAGCCTCATGCATATATAGTGTTGATTTGTAAATACATAAATAGAAGTACATGTTCTAGTCGATCAGACATTTACTGCACACCTACTGTATACAGGCCATCAAGCTAGGTTCCAGGATTTGCTGATGAGCAAGGCTCATATGGTCAAGATGATTTCGATAATTTTTCGTTGTTGGATGGCTCCACTGCTGTGGAGAGGTAAAAGATCAAAAGGCTATGTCCTTCACAATCGGTCAGAAATTGGCTTTTATGTTCCTAGAAATCGTTTGCATTTAGATAACATAGTCACTGATCTCTGAGCAAGAATTTAAGTTTTGTTTAACATGAGAGAGTGCAGAATCTTATTGCATAATGAAATATGCTATATTTTCAGTCAATCACAAAATCTGAAATAGCTTTGAATTTCCAAGCAGTTGTTTTGCAATCCTTTGTTTTGCAAGGTGTTTTGTTAAGAGATTAGTATTATCCTTAAATAACAGTTAATGTGGTATTAGTTACAAAATAAGTGATAAGGTCCAGTGTATCTGGAGGCTATAATAGAGACACCACAAAGCAGATATGACCATATTGTGTGTTTATAGTGGTAAACAGTAAGTAGCATTCCAAATTCCGAAAAAAACATAAAATACCTTGTACATATAATATATGACTTAATTGTTTATTTTGTCCATTAGAATACCTTTTAAATATAGTACTTGTCATGTTCTGGGTAGGATACTAACGTGTAGCATTGAGAAGAATTTGAAGTTTAATAGAGGGAAGGAAACGGAAGGCATTAGATGGGAAAGAGTGAATAGTGAAGGCTAAGTTAGATGGCAGGGAGTGAGCCTGAAAGTGCGAGTGTGAAAAGGCTACGTGAGCCTGCAGGAGTGGGAGACAAGAGAAAGATGAGGAGCAGGCACGTCATGATCAAAAGCAAAACCAGTGCTTTGGGAGTGTCCTATACCTTGTCTTTTCAGAGAAACTCCCGCATCCCTGCAGGACGGAGCCTGGAGAAACCACACTTGCCTCCTTAAGGCTACTTGCCCCTGAGCCAATCTGATTTTCCCAGGAATTTAGAATTTGGAGTATGAGATGCTAGTCTTATCTCAGGCTGGTCCCTTGAGCTGGGAACACGTAGAGCTGTGAAGCACTTGTGTGCTTAAAGAAACAGTGAAAGTTGACCTGCTTAAAAGGAAATGTGAACAATGGAGGAAGGACCACTTGGCTCCAGAGGGAGAGAATCCTGAGCAAGTGATGCTGAATATTTTTCTCCTCACCCTCCTAACCTCTGGAGGACTTGCCTTGCTTCTGCCTTTGAGTTGAAGAGATACTTCTCTTACTGGATATGCCCATTTGTGCTTAAGTTCACTCCAGTGGGTTTTTGTTCCTTGTAACCGCAAGTATGTGACTCAGCCTAGCCCTGACCATATACCTCCTAGTTCCTCTCTGTTCAGTGTCTCATGGGTCTCTGTGATCTTTAAAGAGAAAGGACTGAGCCATGTCCCTATTGGTGTCACTGTGGTGTGAAGCTGAAAATAGTCTGAGAAAAGTGAGGGCAAGTAAAGAAGAAAAGCAGAAAGAAATATTTATTCTATTTTCCTTAATTTCTTTGGATAGTTCATTCAACAGATTTTAAATGTTTCTTCTGTACTAAACACCAGGCAGTGTGCTAAGGATATGGTGGTTAAATATGGCCGATGATTCCTGTCTTCATGGTGTGTAGTCTGATGGGGAAGGAAGACCTAAAATAAGTACCATCCGTGATGCTTGGTGAGTGTTACAACAGGGAAAGTGGGCATAATGGACACAAGATCACAGAGGCTCCCTGAGGAATGTCCATTTTAAACCCCTGCTGCCTCTAGAGAATGTGGGGTGACTGATGACTTGTTTTAGTTTCCTATAAGCTGATTTTTATGGATGAGCGAGAAATAAGGGCATTTCCTTATCAAATATTCTTTCAAAAAATAATATCCTCCTGACATATGTCTCATAGTACCTGCTTATTGCCTGTGACAAGATCAAGTTACAAGCTACCCAACTGGGACCTGCCTGGGCTTGGAAACCAGAAGGAGCCTTCCTGACCGTACAGAGCTGAGGTTTTCAGTTGTATCCATAAGTGTGATTATTTGTTTCAGGCTTCTAATAGGTGCCATTTCAACCACCACATTAGTATCACACTACAGAGGAAAAACACACACACATGAAAAGCACAGGCATTTCTGTTTTCGTGGTTAAGATGTTTTAGATTTACTTTACCAACTAGGTCAGACAAAGGAATGGAGGAGAGAGATCTCACAGAAGCTAGGGTGGCAGGTGTTGGAGATTTTCTTACTCTATTAAAGTATTGGGTATCGTGTCTGAGCATCTATTGCCAACTTTTCCCCTTGGGCATGGAGAATAGGTAAAACACCTTGGCTACCAATGATGGTCGTGAATAGGAGGTTAAGAAAGCCAGAGCCTTGGGAATGAAGGTGTGTAGGATAAGCCACCGTGGGCTCTGTTGTTCCCAGGGCAGGCAGGTGGCATTTACTTTGGCTCCTAAGTGTTTATAAATTTGTCCTGAAAGCAAAACAGAAGACAGTTTTTTAAAGATAACTACAGATAAAAAGCAGCATACCTAACAGAGCCATACAGTGACCTGTTTTGTCACATTCCCAGCTCTCTGCCGTGGCCTGGTGGGATGCCACTGCCCAGTCTGAAGTTGTGGTTGAACCCCTTGGTTTTCACACAAGTATGGCCACTTTACCATTTGCTCGGCTAACTTTTAAAGTATAGGAACTCTAGTCCTCACTGAAAAAACCTAATTCTGAACTGTCTGCTTCCCAGTTTATATCAAAAGCCCAGTTGAGAGAAAGGCTATGAAGGCAGCATAAAGGATATGCAGTCCAATTACTCATCTGC